CCCCCCCCCCCCCCCCCCCGAGATCATTTTCATGCCCGAAATTTAATTGGACGACCGTCCACAACTAGGTGTGGATACTAGATTCTCATACTTTTCATCTGTTTCTCATGTCGCCTCCTCCATGGTGTGATTCCTCCTTGGTCAAAGAAAAAACTGCTAAGATGGGGCCTAAGTTGGCTTCCTCTTTCGCGTCCTCCCAAGCACGTGTGCTTTTTGCATTCTAGGTCCGCCCATCCGCCATTTCTTGAAAGCCATTGTTGAGGATTGCCCAGCCTCGAACACTTCACATTAGAGACCATGTTAATGTTTTTATTATTTGTGTGTGTGTGTGTAGACAAGTAACTTTACTCCTTATGAGTTCATTCAACAAAGCTTACATTTCATCTCTTCCTGTGTTAGGAGTGGCAATTGTTTAATAGCCACTGTAGATGCTGCAGTAAATGCCTTGATCAGCACTTCTTTATATCTCGCCCGAAATGCAACCAACAGCAATGGCCCTATTGTTTTGTCATCAATTCTGCCAAAAAAATAAACGAAAAAGAAAACATTGAGGGCCTGTTTCATGAGCAAAACATGGTTGATATAATTTTAAAGAAATGATTTTGAAATCTGAGATGGAAGTGTTTAGACAATATGATTGTTAGTGACAGACACTAAAGACGACTTTAAAACACAACCATCAAAATTCAAAAGATGCTATCGGCAATTGGTCCACGGCACATCTCTGTACCAAACATGTCTACATTATCAGCATTCGTATATCCTAAATTACCAAACAAATGTTTATCCAATTTGCCCACAATATAACAAAGCGGACAACTAAATACGTTCAAATGAAGTACAAACTCAATAATGAGAACAGATCTTAGGTTCAAATGAAGTACAAACTCAATAATGAGAACAGATCTTAGGGCTTCTCAACAAAACAAAATAATGTGAATAGAGCATGGACGAGTGCTAGTCCAAAGCAAGTGATCAACTGCCTAAGATTCTAAGAATGACAGTGTGGTAAGAGGACTATGAGGTTACATAATAAAAAGCCAGATGCTTTACATTTATAGAAAAATAATTGATGGAATCTCGCACCTTATTATAAAAAAGAGAATAGTGTATTAATAAGATCTTGGCTGAGCGATCGAGCTAATTGATCAATCTTTTGGTGTGGTTTGAAGTGTTTTCTGTAACACCATTCTGACATCTATGATCTATCATGGTATCAAAACACGTTTTGGCCTACTTCGTTTGTTTTATTGGTTTTTACTTTCTAACAAGTTCATTCTAGCCACTTGCGATCTACTTTACTTACAAAGGCGTCGTCTCAGAGACAACTTCTCTTGGGGTAGAGGTAAGGTCCTCCCCGCCCCAAGGCTCTACTTACAAGTGGAATTACTAGTTAATGGTTATGTTTGGTTAAGGCATACAACACCTAAGGCTTTGCACTACAGAATGGATCAATTCCTGTAATATGCCAATAGTTTCAAACACAACATACTAGGCATTTGATGCACCATAAACTGAAGAAAGATATAAGTAAACTCACAGTCTTGCTATCTTGCATCCGAACTCATAAAAAAAAGTGCATCGACCTCTCAGATCCACGTGTGCAGCATCAGCTCCAATTTCATCCTTTGTTCTATCCGATTTTGATTTAGTCCATTAATTACAAAAGCTAAAATATTGTCAAAGGATAAGGTATTTAAAGTTTCAATTCAAATACTATGTTGAACATGATCTAATTCAAAGGCACAAGTATATACAAAAGATGAATCAGGAACAAACAACAACAGCAACAACATTACCCCGGTGCCTCCCCGCCCATTGCGGGGTAAGGGGGGTTAGATGTACACAGCCTGTCCCTTGTGTTCAAAACATACAGCGGTTGTTTTGAGATGACCCATGATGAGCATCGAAAGTAGTATTGACTAATTGCTATATCACCATAAAAACCACAAAGAGGGAGCATGCAAATTTTACTTGGTGTCAAAACATGAAGGAACTATGATCCTCACTGCTTCTTTTGCTAATAGGTCACATGCAAGCCAAAAAGGCATTTCTACTTCGGTGCCAGGTTCCACCTATAAGATTGAAGTTTCATTATTAGATATTCGTTTCATATGCGAATCCCCCCATATCAAAGCGAAAAAAATGGTTTGTTTTTTTCTTCATATAATCAAAGTGTAACCTTATCTGTATCATCAGAGCATTCAAATATCCCAACTCCACTGGCAGTTCTCTGAAATACAGCACGAACAAGCTGAAACCAAAATATGAAATGGAACAAACAATAATCACAATGATCTATTTAATCTCAAATAAAGAATTGATTCCACAAAAGTTGGGTTCATTCTCCAACTCAGAAAAGGGATATCTTAACCTCTTCTTCAGCTAAGATATCATCAATGTCATAATAATTTGTCATCCTACAAAAAAAGGTTTAAATTAAAGTTTGATCTAGGCATAAAGCCATAAACATATGTAAAGCTAAAAACTGTCCAATAGAATCAAAATCTATTGGTAGTAGCCAGAGAAACAAAAAGAGGCAGAGCACAAACAAGATGCTATTATAGTTTTTTAAAAAATTATTTAATCTATTCACAATTTTCTCTCCACTAGAATATATTTACCTATTCTTCAACCATGTAGTTGGAAATTTGATCTTACAACCATAAGTACAAAAATATTTTGTGGAAAGGTTTGAGATGGGTACATCCACTACAAGAGTTAGTGAGAAAAATATCTTCTGACTAATGGGCATATAAGTTTCGTGTGTAATGGGAATGTACTTAGCGAGAAACTCGGTTATCATTACTTAGGGCATAACTTCCAATAGTATAAGAGTTTTTCGACAAATGAGTGTACTTATACCACCATAGAATATATGATCGAATTACACACAAGCTTTGTTAGCTTATTCGGATACAACTATAATACATTGATTCTTAAGTTCGTGTGTAATACAGATCAAATGTTTAAAATACAACTAATCATACATTCATACCTTCCATATGTTCCAATACATATAAAGATTCATTCATGTTCTATACATTGGTGTTTTAAAAATATGGCTTATAATCTGTGCACATACTTCCAACAAGAGCGGCAATTTAGAGTTCAAAACTTTGAAGTTAAAACTATATATGTCCAATAGCCACCAAACACGAATATAAAACGAATACACCATAATGCTAAAAAAACAACCAACACTAAGAATCTTAAATCGAGTTCGAATGCATCATCAACCAAATACCAAAAGTTATAGCCCAATAAAAGTTCAATAGAACTAGATAGACTTCAAACTTAATACTTCAGATGACCCGCCACCAATACCAATGAAAAAAACTCAATTCAAACTCTTAACTCTCATCATTATCCTAAAAACTAATTGAAATTAGTTAAATAAAAAAAGGATCATTATCATCAGCATAAGTCACACAAATATCAACATATTTGCCTCCAAATCATGTATGTATGTGTGTGTGTGTGTTCAATGCTTCCAAAAGCTGAAGTTCGAAGAATAAACTGAGGAAGTGCGCTGTCTCGTGGACTACCGGAGTATGATTGCGAACCTGAGATGAGTGGTCGGATTGCCGAAGGCGGGCGGGCGGGCCGGCGAGGAATTTTGGAGATCTCTGCTTGACGGCTCTTCGCAAATACGGAGTACTCCGTAACTTCTGACACCTCCGGTTTTATCTGAATACTCCATATTTTTTATTCATTTCATAACAAAAAAAACCATTTGACTGAAGGGTGAAAATAAACAAAATTTAATATCTACTCTTTATGAAGTTAGTATTTATAGATAAAATAAAAAATAATTATACTTTAGAAATGGAAAAATTACCCAAAATAATCCCAACTTTACCCAGTCTTTCAAAAATAATCTCACCTTTCACTGTGATGCATAATAATCCCAACTTTATTGAAATTTGTCAGTTTTGGGTTGCCGTTAAGTTTCTAACAAAGGGTTAACGGAAATGCCTGTTTTAGGCAACAAAATGAAAGTTGGGATTATTTTTTATGAATTTTTGTTTTTAAATTTTTTTTGAAATTTTTATTTAAATTTTTTGAATTACTTTCAACCTCCATTTCTATATATATATATATATATATATATATATAGTGTTAACCTAAACTGATCAACAAGTAAACTAATTAATCTTAGGAGTCATATAATATCTCGGATATTTTAATTCTACTAGGTAATTAGCCAACACCATCATTCACCCCTCTTCATACCGCATAACCTAAGACCATGTATTATGGGGGGTTGACGGGGCTTGATATGTGTAAAGGAGTATGATATGCAGTGATAAAAATATGTGTTATTGTATATGAGAAGAAAAGTGTAAAAGTGTGAAATATTTCACAATGTCACATGAGATTACATTTTTGTAGCACTAGCATTCAACTTTTTTATTTTTGTTTTGTTTATCCATACAACGATCAGATCAGTCATTGAAATATGTCTTTTTTTGTTTTTTTTGCACCAACCAGTCACTTTTATATTTTTTTGCATCAACAATCAAAAGATATAATGTAATTTTCTAAAGGAAAAATTACCCAAAATAATCCCAACTTTACCCATTCTTTCAAAAATAATCCTACCTTTCACTGTGATGCATAATAATCCCAACTTTACTGAAATTTGCAAGTTTTGGGTCGCCGTTAAGTTTCTAACGGAGGGTTAACGAAAATGCCTGTTTTGGGCAACAAAATGAAAGTTGGGATTATTTTTGATGAATTTTCATTGTTTTTATTTTTTTAAATTTTTCATTTAAATTTTTAAAATTACTTTCTACCTCCATCATCATTTCTTTTTCCTTTTTTAAAGATTAGTCTTAGTTTAAAAAAATAAAAATAATAGATATAAAAAAATGAAAAAATGAGAAATGTAACTAAAATGATACAAAAATAATAAAATAAATAAGGTAATCATTGAAAACTAACTTGAAATTGGTAAAAGTAAAATAAAACTATACGGGTGGGTTTTAATATTTTACGCACTATACAAAGTATTAACATATCACTTCTTATTTTTTAGAAAAAATTATCTATAATAATTCCAACTTTACCGGACGGCTTGTTCTTTTAAAAAATAAGTAGTACATTAAGACTCCGTATAGTGTGTAAAATGTTAAAACCCACCACTCCGTATATATTTATTTTATTTCTTACCAGTTTTTGTTTAATTTCTATTGATTACATTATTTATTTGATTAATTTTGTATGGTTTTAGTTATTTTTCTCATTTTCATTATTTTTTATATCTATTTTTTTTCTAAGGTAAGAATAATCTTTAAAAAAGAAAAAGAAATGGAGGTTGAAAGTAATTCAAAAAGTTTAAATAAAAATTTCAAAAAAAATTTAAAAAAAATCATCAAAAATAATCCCAACTTTCATTTTGTTGCCTAAAACGGGCATTTCCGTTAACCCTCTGTTAGAAACTTAACGGCGACCCAAAACTGACAAATTTCAATAAAGTTGGAATTATTATGCATCACAGTGAAAGGTGGGATTATTTTTAAAAGACTGGGTAAAGTTGGGATTATTTTGGGTAATTATTCCTTTTCTAAAGTATAATTATTTTTTATTTTATCTATAAATACTAACTTCATAAAGAGTATATATTAAATTTTGTTTATTTTCACCCTTCAGTCAAATGGTTTTTTTTGTTATGAAATGAATAAAAAATATGGAGTATTCAGATAAAACCGGAGGTGTCAGAAGTTACGGAGTACTCCGTATTTGCGAAGAGCCGTCAAGCAGAGATCTCCAAAATTCCTCGCCGGCCCGCCCGCCCGCCTTCGGCAATCCGACCACTCATCTCAGGTTCGCAATCATACTCCGGTAGTCCACCAGACAGCGCACTTCCTCAGTTTATTCTTTGAACTTCAGCTTTTGGAAGCATTGAACGCGCACACACACACATACATGATTTGGAGGCAAATATGTTGATATTTGTGTGACCTTACCAACACCGTCCAAACATATACTCCATTCGTCCAAAAATGGGGGTCTTTTTTCTTTCTTATTTCTTAAATATAAAATGTCAAACTAAAAAAGTTAAACTGATGATTACTTACATGAACTTCATTGTACCTTAGTTAGATTTTTCAAATGGATGGGATTATATGATACCCTATCTATCCCAAAAATAGTCTCTTTTGGTCAATGACTCAATGTACTTTTTTTTTGCATTTTCGCAACACACCAATCTTAGGATTAAAAAGTCATAAAATATCATTATGCGATGACTCCTTGTGCCTGATAGTGTACGGACTACGTAGCAACCTGATGGACGAAAAAGTTTCAGATTTGCCACCTGTGAAGTTCTTGGGTCAGTTGGGTGGGATCTTAAGGTTCTTGGGGCGGGATCTTGAACGCTTAGAGTTTGTCCAATGCAAGTTGGGAAACATAATGCAGCAAAAAAGAAAGTCATGAAATACTACACACATTTTAAATTTTTAAAAAAATCATTTGTTGGTTTAACACTTTAACCAAATCCATCATATTTAACTTGTTTCTAACTCTCTTTTTTTTTAATTTAAACAAAATTAGTTTGGCTTGTTCATATTTCAAACAAGATCACCATGACAAAGTGACAAAGAGGGAAACACTTTGAGTGATAATGGAGTCTGCTAATCACTATCAACCAATTCAAACCCCTAACTGTGTTTAGCCTTTAGATAGCTCAAGCATTGCCCACTGCTAAACTCTGCATAATCAGAGCTTAAACAACACACATTATGCAAAACCCTAGACTCACAAGCTGTGAGCAATAATCACACATTTTCCGCCGCATTAAGCGGCAAAAGGGTTGAAATTTCACAGGGAATCGACAAATTGGAAAAGCACACTACCTCTCTTGGCCGGCGGTGTCCCAAATCTGAGCCTTGACGACCTGGTCGCCGACGCGGGCGGTGCGAGTGGCGAACTCGACGCCGATGGTGGACCTGGACTCGAGGCTGAACTCGTTGCGAGTGAATCGAGAGAACATATTCTCCTTTACACATATCAAGCCCGGTCAACCCCCATAATACATGGTCTTAGGTTATGCCGTATGAAGAGGGGTGAATAAGGGTCCGGGTAGGGGTGCATACAAATTAAATAAAATGTATTCGATTCGTGATTGTATTCAAAAAGGATGATTCGTATTCGCTATATTTGAATTCGAATCCGAATACAAATCATATTTTAAATTCGAATTATTTTTGAATTCGAATACAAATATTAATAGATTCGATTCGTTTATTATTCAAATTATTCGAACATTATAATTTATAAATAAATTTATATATATATATATATATATATTCTAATATATTAAATATTTGTGTACATATTTTAACATACTCCCTCCGTCCCGAAGTATTCGTCCAGTTTTGACTTTTGGAACTGTTCATCTAAGCACTTTGACTCATCAAATTCTCTCAATGTGTAAGCCTAAATATAGTCATGTGTGATCTTGTTTGATTTGTCTTAACATATAGATTATTAATATATAATTTCTATAATTTTTTAATATACAAATTATAAGATAAAATGGATTAAAGAAGTGTATTGGATGGTGTGTAAAAATGAAAGTGTACAAATACTCTGGGACGGAGGTAGTATTTTAATATATTAATTTTTTGTGTACATATAAATTTATATATATTCGAATATTATAATTTGTAAATAAATTTATATATATTCTAACATATTTTTACTACATTTTACATAATTATAAACTAATAATTTAATGTCTTTAAGAAATCTGTTTTAAGAAAAAAATACTACTCCCTCCGTCCCACAAAAAAGTTCCCATTTGGATGTATTTTTGGTCAAACAGTTACACGCTTTGACCATAAATTAAATATAATCTAAATAAAGAAATGCTAAAAAAATTTGAGATATCAAAACTAGATCCTAAGATGAATCCAATTATATTAAATTTATTTTATAATTCAATATACCTTTCTCACAATTTGTAGTCAAAGCGTGTGAATATTTGACTAAATACTATTCAAAATGGGAACTTTTTTGCGGGACGGAGGGAGTAATATTTTCGAATTCGAATATTCGAATACGAATTCAAATACGTCAAATATCTATCGAATCGAATACGAATCGAATAGTGATATATTTGCTTCGATTCGTATACACCCCTAGTCCTGGGTGTTGGCTAATTACCTAGTAGAATTAAAATATCCGAGATATTATATGACTCCTAAGATTAATTAGTTTACTTGTTGATCAGTTTAGGTTATTACTTTATATATATATATATATATATATATATATATATATATATATATATATATATATATATATATATATATATATACACACACACATATATATATATATATATATATATGGGCCGGTTCAGGTGAGAATGCATCTTGGTGAAAGAAATAAAAATAAAATCTAGCCTTTGGATCGGATGCATCATGCGGCTCAGATTGCATCCTGCACTCGGATTTTGAGATAGTGCATTTTTAAAGAATTTTGGTGCATTTCGACATGATGCATTTTCAAATCATTTTGGTGCACCTACTTTTGATGCAATCCTGACCCTTAGATCTCACAATCTAAAGCACCAGATTCATTCTTATTTCTTTCATAAGATCGCATTCTCACTTGAACCAATATATATATATATATATATATATATATATATATATATATATATAAATTTTGAATTATATTTTACTAATATAATAAGAGCTATTTCTCATCAAATTTTGTTCAACTTCGTACTTTAAATTCAATAATGGGTGATGATTGGATATAAATGATATGTTGTGGAGTGATGAAAAAAATATGTGGTATGGTAGGGTGTTTGGGGGTGATGAGAATGGAGATCAAGAGATGTGTTGACTTTTGATTCGTTAGAATTAAAAAAACCCCTTCTACCTTCATCTGGAGATTGATATCACCCCTTGTGGGGTCGCGCTACGCAGCGTGATTTCATGCTCGGTCACCAACCACGTTGGTGGTCATACTCCTCCCTCACCCCATACCACATGATCTTAATGTTTATAGATTGTGCGGGGTGATAGCAAGCTGATTGAGGGGTTTTAGACAATGGTTTGAAGGCGTAAGATGATAAAAAACGAGAGGAGCATCTGATCGACATAGGTGATGGTGACAACTTTGGGAAGTCTACTTGCAACACAACCATATAACTTACATAATAGGGAGATGCACCCATCATCCTTGATTTCTAAGGCTTTGCATCAGAGTTAGGATGTGGCAAAAGGTGAATATGAACACCAGTGGAATAGGGGCAGTATAACAACATGCGATGTGCGATGGACTCTCTCCGAATAAATTTGATACGGTAAAGAACAATACTGGCGTTTGTTTTATCCTCAATACAAAGCTGACTAGATAGTGAGAATGGTAGTGCAAGATAGTCAAAGATATTTTCTTCAAAGAGCATACCGCGATATAAGACAGGAAGAAGATATACTAATGGCTAAAACATTGGACATACGGGAGGCGATGCAATGGTTGAGGAACGAATTTGGGCAATAGAATGTGACTATTAAAATGTATAACTAGCTATTATTTTTAGAATTTTGAGCATTGGAGAGTAAGTGTTGTATTTTAACAGGACTGTTTCAAAATTTAAAACGTTGATGAGATATTTTTCATCTTTATCATTATTTTGCATTAGAAAGTCTATTCTCTTGTTAGCTCGAGCGTTTGATTTTATGTATTATCTTTGGAGTACAATTCCACCTATCCACCTATTATTTGGAAAATTATATAATACATCAGGATGTACATTTCTCTCGTTATATCATGACAAACTTGTAATAAAAAGATGTTTCAAAATAAACATTATGCTAAACAAATCTCAAAATGAATATTACGATTGAAAATAAATATTTTGTGATTCAAAATGATATTGGGCCTATTTGGGAATAGCGTTAGCATTTTGAAAAGACTATCTACAGGTAGCGTTTTCAAAGTAATCTGCACCGTTAAAATTATACTCCGTATCTAAAATGTTAACGCTAATCACTAAAGCTATTCCCAAAGAGCCCCTGTAATTTTATAGAATTAATAAAATCCAAGCTTATAAAATAAAAATAAAAAACTTCTCCTACCATCTCAATCGTGGAAGGCAACACGGCCAAGGGGGAACTGCAGAAAAGGGCATTTTCGAAATCTCGCCGTCGCGCCGCCGCCTTTCCATCTCCATTTCTCCCTCTCGTCCCGGCCTCCGCATCTCCGTCGGGCGCCCGACCTGGTGTTGTTCGCTTCTTGCCGTTCACGTCGCCGCGGTCTCACTCAGTCTGCCTCCTTGCCGTCTCCGGACAGCGGGCTCTGAGGCCTAAGCCTGCCAAGTGGTATCATCAACTACAATTTGGAAAACTCCCAAAATTGTCTTGGTAAGTTTAACTCCTGAAGCCCTAATTTAGTAATTTCATGTAACTATCTTGGTTCAAGATCCAATAATTATCTAACTGGAGAAGGGAAAAGATTGAAAGAATTTCAGTGTTTGGATTTTGGGGAAGTTCAGCAGAATGCTGGGCAGGGAAGGACACTCACTTTGGGGAGCTACAACTACGAGTGGGAGATTGTGTTGAGGTGGATGTGTCGGATCTAGGAGTATACTCTGGGCACGGTGGCAGTGGCCTATGTGGATATAAGCTTCCAAAAGCTAGACTGAGATGAGTCTGAGCTTTTAGCAAGGAGAAGTTCAGAGGCCTAGTTGATGTGTAGTACAAATGCCTAGTTAGGAGGTGGGCGTCAGAGTTAGAAGTAGACCTAAAAAGAGTTGGAAGGACGGGGTTAGGCAATACCTTTGACTTTAGGATCTCACCGGGAATATGATGTCATATAGGGGCATTTGGAGGTGTAGGACTAAGGTGGTAGGATAGACCTTTGGGTCTTACTTCTTTAGTTTCTATGTGTGCTTTTGTGCCTTAGTTTATAGTTTATGCATGGGTGTTTGTTTTTATACGTGGTTTCAATTTACTTGTGCTACTTTTCTCTGTCCATCTACTTTCTGAGTAGGGGTAACTGTACACACGCCATTTTCGCAGACCTCGCTCTGTGGGAATTCACTTGTTTTGTTGTTGTTGTTGTTGAATTTGAAGGGATTTGATGTAATGTAGGTGATCAAAGAAGTTACATTTTCAGGCGTGTTGCTTGTCTGGGCATTAAAGAAAGAAGTTAAGTTTAGGACAATTTTTAAAGGGTTGTTGTTAGTCCGATCAATAGGATAGCTACTCATGTTTGAGTTAAGTTTATTTTTCACATGGTCTACATCATTTAGTTTTTTTAATCAGCACCTACACCCTAGACGAGATTCTGCCAATCCCTTTTTGGTTTCCCATTTCATGTAAATCACAATCCACAAGTTAGCCTAAGAGCACTCTATTCCACATATTTTACTGCACCTCCTAGCTGGACAACACTCCTCAGGTCCAAGGTAAAACTATCCATGGTTTTTTTTGTCACCTCCTTGACGAATAAATCAAATTGATAGAAGTATGGTTCTGTTTTTGAGTATATTTACTTTCACAGTTTCATGGGTTTAACTGTTTGATTAAATTGGTCCAATTTTTAACTTATAGCTATTATTTGATTCCATTTTGAATATAGAGACTGCATTCTTGTTTTTGAAGTGGAATTGCGTGCCAATGGCTAGGGCTTCAACACTCACGCCAGCAACAGTCTATCTGTACATTCCCAACATTATTGGTGAGTTTCTAAAGCTACCGATTGCCCAAAGAAGTGGATTAAGTTCACTCGATGTAGGGACAAATGTTTGAAATACAACTGTGGGTGTTTTGTAGCCTGTACAGATTGCTTGAATAGATTTGTGGATTGCAAAAAGCTCTATTTTTGGACAATTAGAATCTAGTAGTTCCATAAAGAGCCAAATTAAGAGTTATTCCCTTAGAATACCATTTTTGAGGCTAAACTTTTGTGGGAAGGGCTGAAATTGATGAGGGTTTGACCGAAGTTGATGAACGAGCTTCATCATCTAGCAATATATTGATAAAACGTTTCTAATAATTTAAAGAAATACATGCATCTTAGATTGATAGATGAGGGTGAAGTGTTATTCAAGTAATTTTTTCCAGATACATAACCAGCTCTACGTTTTAATATAGCAGATTCAGAAAACACATTAAAATAAGTTAGTTATTTTTTGTTAGAAGTGGTTACTCTGGCTTATTAGCAACTACTACTCCTTCTTGTAAAGTTCATAGTTTAGAAAGGGATGATGGTCCTAATTATAACTCACTTCACAACTCCAACGCGCATTTAATATTCTTTTTCATCTTTGACCGTATTAAAGATGAGAGGATTTCAGTGTAAAGAGGTGCTCCACAAATGATGATCATAGAGGGTAAAGTCAGTAAAGTGGCACAATATCACTTTTGTTGTGCTTTTTTTGTGTCAAGTGACTTATAATTTTGACCCAAGGGAGAAAGTAAGATTCTTGAGATTCTTATTATCTACTCCCTCCGTTCCTTAATTTTGCTCCTTCTTTCCTATTTGAAATGCCCCAGTTTTTCGATCCACTTCCTTAGTTCCTTTTCCAGGAAAAGGTTTCATGGTTGAAATTGTCCCTCTCTCCTCTAAACACCATTCAACCACCATTTTTGCTTTATTAAAAAGTGAGCCAAGTCAAAACAAGAACGTAATAATGAGATGAAGGGAGTATAAATCTAAGTTTCTTTGTTTAAATGCATTCTAATATGTTTATGCTGGAATGTCCATGGTGCAGGCTACACGAGAATTTTAATGAACTGTTGTGCTTTTGCAATATGCTTCACCGATAAAATGCTTTTCTCAATCTTATATTTTGTTAGGTGAGCATGTCCTTGCCCCTCTTATTTGTAAAACAAGCCCTTTTTGCATCAGTGACACACACGCACATCAATTTTACATATAAAGTGTGGGAGTGAAACTTGATTGGACTCACAATTTCAGCTTTGTATGCGATGCATTGGATGGTTGGTTCGCTCGGAAATTCAACCAAGGTATGAAATTACACAATATTTTTAGTTTCATGTGACTTAAATGCATAGTTAGCTGGGCACAATTTATCACAAAATAAAAAATGTCAGATGTTTATAGTGGATTTTCTTTCATTCTATCCTCACTAGTCAGGTGGTGCTACAGTGCTACTTGTGCATGTAACTTGTTTCACACATGATTTGTGTTTTAATGAGTTCTCCTTATCCCAGTTTTTATAACACCTTTTGGGAAATAAAATGAAGCATAACGTTAATAAGAAATACTGTCATTTTATGGTAGAGTCTACGTAACTATGGCTCCTTTTTTTGCTAAACATAACTAAGGATCCTTAATTCCTATGTTACTGTCTTTTATATTGCACATATGAATGATGCTAGGTAACTGGTTTTCTTTTGATTAATATCTGTTGAAAGTTGAAACTCACTAAAGGAAGGTTAATGGCCAATTATTGAAGGCGCAATCATCTTCTACTTTTGGATAATCAATTTTTTTTGTTCAGTTTCAACATTTGGAGCTGTTTTGGACATGGTGACAGATAGGTTTGCCTCTATACAACTCAATCAATTTTTTTTCTGGTGGCATGTTGTGTTTTGATTTATTTATACAAACCTTCTTCATTTTATTTCCATTTTTTGCATTTATTGATATTTCTCTAGGATCAGTACTGCTTGTCTCCTCGTGATTCTTTCGCAAGTTTACCGGTGATTTCTTTGCCCAATGCCAATGATAAATTGCTCTTTCATATTACTGCTTATATGTACATATGCTAGTTCTTTTTCTGACTGAGATCTTCAGGCCTGGCTTGATTTTCTTGTCTTTGCTCGCTTTAGATATTGGAAGTCACTGGTTACAAATGTATAGGTAAATATATCTGATACAACTCATTTCTATTTCCTCAGGTGTAATTTATTAACCTATAACTACCTCCACAGGCTCCGACCAAAAAAGTTTTGCTTGCAAAACTGAAATCGGTATTGCAAACATGACTCTTCTTTGAGACGGAGCAATATTTTCCTTTTGGGCTCAGGACGGTCTGTGTGGAGTGTTGTGGTGAGGGTTGGGTGTTGGGGGTGATGGGTACCTTGTGAATTTGGTGCTAAAAGTTGTTTCTATTGTAGCTCCTTTTTGGCCGGGAAAACCAGCCATAAAGATGTGAAGGACAGCAGTAGTTGGCTATTCCGAACGTATTATGGAAATCGAAAGTTTATGGCCTATTGTTGTATATGCTGTGAGGTGAATGTGTATTTCTTTGACACAATGCCATGAAAAACTTGTCCAAGAGAATTTTTCTTTCAACTGCACTGATCTTTTTTATTCCTTGTTTTTTCTTGTAGGTTCTTTACATTCTCTTGTTTCTTCTCGCAGAGAACCAGACCGAGAATTTGACTGATGTGAGCCACATAAAATGCTTTACCCTGCTTGTCCGAAAAAAAGAGAGCTGTGTATAAAAAACTCTTATCCTCAAAAAGAGCCTTGTTGAGTTGTAACAAATGATGCTATTTTTTAAATGTAATTTTCCAAAACAAAGTTCATAAGTTTAGTTTAAACCAACATATTATTTTTAAAATTACAATTAGGATCAATTACTTACAAGTGTTGTAACTTACTAAAATATAAGGGTTTTACCTTGATCAAACATGACTTTTTTACCATGTATTACTCTCTTTCTTTGAATTAGTATTTGTTGTGCCTTGCGAAGATGTAATGTTATCTTACATCTCTTTGGTTGGGGAGTTGAGCAATTGTGTGGTTTTCCCTTTCTCACTAGTCCTCTTTCTTTTCAGGTTCTCATCAATTCAGCAAAGAAAAGTGGGCTCTACTTTTCCCTGCTTTCATTACTTCTCTTTGGCTGGGCAACTAAGCAATTGGTCAATCTTATACAGGTAAGCAAGCGCCTTAATTACACCACGATCACAGCAACTGAAATGTTGTATTTTTGTGTCCGCATTTTTTATTAAAAAAGCAGTCTGGAAGCCGTTTGATTAATTCTTCTTGAACTGCATAATAGATTTTAATGTGTGCCAATATCTAATTCATTTGAGTACAAAAACACCACAGTAAAATCCCACAATAGTAGGGTCTGATGAGGGGTGTGTATGCAAACCTTACCCCTACTATGAAGCAAAGAGGCTCTTAGACGCTTTCCAAGAGATCCTCGTCTCAAACACAAAAGCACAGACACTAGCACATACAAAGTAAAAGCACTAGCAACAAGACCCTAAGCATAGGAAGCACACATGCACCAACTATAAACTAAGGCCCAAAGGTCTAATCCTAGATCTCCAAACGTTTCCATCTAAGGTCATATCCTTTGTGAGGTCTTGAAGTTGTAAATCTTGTTTAATCACATACTTCCAACTCTTCCCAGGTCTATCTTTACCCTTTCTCATGCCCACTATTGCAAGCCTCTCGTTCAACCTCACCGGGGCCTCTCGCACTTATTCGATCCAAGTATCCGACTATTTTCAAGCAAAAACTTGAAAAATCTTGCTAAAACTTCTCAAGGAAAATGAAAGAATTCTTAACATTCCTATCTTTACCCTTTCTCATGCCCAATATTGCAAGCCTCTCGTTTCACCTCATTGGGGCCTCTCGCATCTATTCGATCGAGTATCGGACTACTTTCAAACAAAAACTTGAAAAATCTTGCTAAAACTTCAGAAGGAAAATGAAGGAATTCTTAACGTTCTCATACTTCTTGAATTGTTAGTATGTAAAAATGGAAGAGGAAGCTGTTTGCTTGTTTGCTTGTGGTTCTGGAGCCTGTTTGGGGAGGGTAAAGTTGTTCTGAACTACTGAAATCATTGGTGCTACCAAATGGATGTTAAGTAACTCACGGATGCAAATCATTCAAATTAATAGGTGCATAATACTATCCCGCGACCTATCAGGGCTATCACTATCTAAAATTTATGCATCTGAGCCGGGAGTTTTTTGGAAACAGTCTTCCTACTTCATAGTAGGCTGTAAGGGTAACGACTAACGTGTGCCCACACACAACGTCTCTAGACCCTACTTTTGCAGGATTCTACTGGGTTTGTTGTTGTTCTGTATCACTATCTAAATTAATCCTTTTGCTCTATATTCAGATGAAGACTGCTGCAGATATATGTGTACACTACGACATTGCGAAGCAGCAATAGCGCGGCTGCGGGGGTGCCCCGAATGCAAATGTGTGTGTATTCTGATGACAACATTCTCTCAGTTTTTATGGTCCCTTTTGTCATGGTTGGAACAGAAAAGCGCCCATCTGATGAAGAAACGAACGTTTTTTTTAAATTATTAGAGTGCATTGAGTGATGAGCTTACAGGCTATACAGCCAGCCATCATAAACCTGACTGGTTTGAGTGCACATTTGGGGACTTGTATATGATTACTATTGCCTGCTAACTGTTTTCGTGGTTTCTTGTTTCCTTGTGTAGAAGAAACTACACACAGTTATTATTATTCCTTAAAGTCTATTGAAATTGACACGAAGTTATTTTCCGTATTTGTCTAGTTTGTCTTTTTAAAGTCAAACTAAACAAATTTGGGCATTGCTAAATCCACCTAAAAAATGGCTATATCTACACTTTTGACATTAGTGGGGATTTAGCAAATTTAATTGAAAAGAGTGGATATAGTTATTTTTGGGGTAGATTTAGCAACACCGAGCAGATTTTATCAATTACAAAAAAAAATGGCACATGTACAAATTACAATGTGCTATCCCTGTGTCACTATTTTTGTCTTTTCTTTTTTTGTTTTGTTCGCCTTACTATTTTTTGTTCGCCCTACTATTTTTTGTTCATACTCTTTTCGTCCTAAATTAATCTTTCTATATAACACTGGCTTCTCGATAATTTATGTTTATATGCATGTTTTCATTGATTATTTAATAAAATAAAATGTTTTTATCATCTCTTGTTTTGTACGGAGTATAATATTTGATTTAGTTTGAGCGATGTAATTTGTATATCAATTTGTAAATAAAACAATTTTTAAAAGACATATTTTGGAAGGATGGAGTAGTGCACGAGTATTTGGTTGTATATCAATTGACTGATTGAGGACTACAATAAACTTATTTCATTTTTCTTAATCTATTCAAAAGTCAACTGAGAATTTAATTTGGGACAAAAGGAATAATATTTTAGATAGTGAACTTCCAAAGTGGTACTTTCGAATCAGGAGTTTCCACAAATCGGTCTTTAATAAACAATTACTTAAATGGTACTTTATACTCCGCAATTGAGATTTTTTCTCACGATAGTCTTCCGAGAATTAGAGTGATATTATCATTATAACCTCAGAGAGATGAATTGCAAAAAAATTAAATTTAAGGAGACTATTTTAACATCTTCATAGTTTAAATGATGAAAAATATCAAAATAGTCATTTGATGAACATTTTTTACAGATGACTCTAAGGGAATGAACCTTAATTATAGAGTACCATGTTGGCAAATATTACTTTTTGTGTACTGATTTGTGAAAATACCATATTACGAAGGATAATTTTTTTTAGAATTTAATTTATTTTTGAAAATAAAAAACTATACACGAAAAAAAGCACTACTTCATAGTACTTCTGTCTCACATTAGAATATGTAGATACTATTATGGCTCTCGTTAATTTTTTGTTTGTTTGCATGCTCATTACTTATTTGATAAAATAAAATATTTTTTCACATCTTGTTTTGTAATTCGTAAAACTTTTGACGTACTTTTTTACTCTATCTTTATATGGAAAATATGTTTCATTACGCTTTACGACATTTGACTTAATTTTTTTAATTCAATTTATCTCAAGATTGATGTAGTAAAAAAAGTACATATTTAAAAATTACGGATCAAATCAAAAGATTTAAAAAATAAAAATGATATGACTATATGATTCTATTAAATGAGTAAGAAAAAATATGCAAATAAAACTTATAGAATTTTCTCCCATAAGTTAAACTCTTCTTTTTAGCAGTCAAATAACGGATAATGGCGCCACGCCGACACCTCACCTTCCTTTGATTCGCTCTCTCTCCCTGGACGCTTTCATTTCATGACTTCTACTTCCCGATTCTGAACTTTCAGCTGATAGATTGAGCTCGGATTTCGACGGAGATGGCGACCGCCACCGAGTTTCCGGCGGATTTGGAGTACCAATCGGGCTTCGGGAACCACTTCTGGTCCGAGGCCATCGCCGGAGCTCTTCCTCGAGGCCAGAACAGTCCTCTCGTCTGTCCGTCCGGTCTCTACGCTGAGCAGATTTCCGGCACCTCTTTCACCTCCCCTCGCAAACTCAATCAGCTCAGGTTTTTAATTTGCTTCTCCGATCATCCCTCCTCCCCTCCTGTCTCTCTATCTCGTGTGTTCAGTAGTAGCAGAAGCTTTGATTATGGTTTAATTGAAGCGAATTTGCTTTGTTGAGAGATGTATATCACGGTTTTTTTGCATGAATTGATGAGTAACAGAGTTAGACATCTGCAGATATTTAACCAGTTCTCTCCCTTTAATAATGGAAATTGTAGTCAAATCATATGCAACGATGAGTTGTAGTAGAGTCTGTTTTTATGATTAACATCTCTAGCTAGTGAATTTCATCGTTCTGCACAAGATGTTTTAGGGGGTGTATTCAATTGGGACTTTGTAGGATTTTTTTGGACTTTCAAAATCTGTGGGTATTCTATTCGTTAACCTAGTTTTAATTGAATGTGATCTTCTGATGAAAGCAATGCTTTATAATGGATTTATTTGTGTGGACAGTTGGCTATATCGGGTTAAGCCATCAGTTACTCATGAGCCATTTAAGCGTAGAGTACCGACTCATGAAAGGCTTGTTAGTGAATTCAACCAGACTAACAGCTCTGCTACACCTACTCAATTACGGTGGAAGCCTGCGGATATCCCAGAAAGGCCAACAGATTTCATCGATGGGCTGTACACTGTATGTGGAGCTGGCAGCTCGTACCTCCGGCATGGTTTTGCAGTTCACATGTAATCTGGGATCACATACTTACATTTCTCTTCTTCTTCTTTTTTGGATATAATTCTGGAATGCATTTGTGTGTCTCGTGAAGCATTTTTCTGTATGTGAATTTAATGCAGTGCCTATGATGACAAACTTATCAAATCAGGCAATACTTCAAACCCACGTATCAAAATTATATTGATATTCACCCCTTTGTTGTTCCATCATGAGGAAAATTATCTACTCCCTCCGTCCATGTATGATCTTCCCATTACGCGTTACGAGGCTTGACCGACTTTATTTTCAATTCAATTTAATTGATAATAGGAGTAAAATTTTAAAATAAAATTTATATAGTAATAAACTACATGAAAAGTTCTACAAAACTAGAGGTGACAAGACTATATTATTTTATGAAATGACTAGCAAAATTGAGCAAACAAAGTGAGTAAAGTTTGACCCTGTGAATAGTGTCTGGGAAGATCTATGGTGGACAGAGGGAGTATAATTTTTCCGTCTTTAACTCCAAAATTTACATCATATGAAAATCATCATTCATTTACTTTCATTTATTTCTTATTTATTTATAAGTGGCATGATGTTTGAGACTATTGTGATTATCAGCTAGAACATGTTCTCGTATAAGAACTAGTAATTGCGTACACCAAATACAAATTGGCTTGCTGGGGACAAATTGTGATTAGTGGAGATAGGTTTTAACTTCATTTCAATGCTCAGAGAGCTTAAGTCTTTAAATAAGAGAAGTTTGACTTCTATTGGATATATTAGGCATACTTTGTATTAGGCAAAGTTAAAGTCCAACATCATCTTTTGTTTTACCTTTGTTTTCAAGGATAAAGCTGTTTCTTTTCCTTCTGTATACTTAAGCACTTGTGGAAATGTAGGTATGCGGCTAACAAATCAATGGACAACTGTGCATTCTGCAATGCTGATGGGGACTTTTTGATAGTTCCTCAAAAGGGAAGTAAGTGATGACTATGTTTACTGGTGTAACTAATGAGACATTTTTTTCAGTGACCTTTGTATTGAGCTTCCGAAAAGCAGCTCCAGTCCGGTGCTTTCTTAAATATAAGCACATAATGTATTTTAAGAAAAACTAATTAAAAACACTGTTTAAAAGCACTTATTTTTACTAATTAAGTAAAAATGTTATTGTATAAAAGCACTTATTTTTTGTTTATCAGTCATCCCAAACGCACACTTAGTTTTCTCATCTAATGGTAGTCCTATGAAATTTCCTATACTCAGTTCTACTGCTTTTAAGACAGCTATTTTTGTCTGCTCGATCTTAATGTTAAGCCTTCCTAAATTTGCTGGTTTTATATGTTGAAATGTTGGCTGAAGTCCTCTTTGTCCTTTGCTTACCATGTAGGGTTGTGGATTGCAACTGAATGTGGTAGGTTGGAAATCAGCCCCGGTGAAATTTTTGTGGTACCTCAAGGTTTTCGCTTTGCTGTTGATCTGCCTGATGGAGACTCACGTGGTTACGTTGGTGAAATTTTTGGAGCTCATTTTCAACTTCCTGATCTTGGGCCGATAGGTAAACATAAAAGTTCAAACCTACTTACCATTGTGCATTTTATATACGACTGCATTTGGTAGCCAGCCATATTCAGCCTATTATGCATGCCAAACGCTTCTCATTTCATAAAACGAGAAGATTCAAATAATTCAATCATTTCAGCTGAATAGCGCTTACCATGAGGACACTTATTAGATTCTTATGGTATGCTTCTGATGATTCGGTTTAGGCGCAAATGGTCTGGCTGCTCCAAGGGATTTTCTTGTTCCAGTGGCATGGTTCGATGATACCAGCCATCCAGATTACACTATAGTGCAGAAATACGGCGGTGAACTCTTCACTGCAAAACAAGAGTTTTCACCATTCAATGTGGTTGCTTGGCACGGCAATTATGTTCCTTATAAGGTCACTATTCCTCTAGATTTTTGTTATGTTTCCAAATTGATTTTAATCAATTGACCCTAGAATAGAGAAAGGGACTAGAGGTCACTAATTGCCAACTTACCACTCACGATCACTTCTTTAACTCCTCATAACCACTTGCTTTAATAATAATAAATAAATAGTAATAATAAATACGTATCAATTTTGCTGCCCAGTTTTTGTAGTAATTGGACAAAACAACTCATATAGTTTTTATGCTTGCTTGGCTGCGGGGAGAAAATAAGATGAGAGAAAGGGAGAAAAAAGATGCTCCTTAGTAAGAAAGAAATGTATGAGAAAGGGAATGTATCATTAGTAGAAAAGGATGAACCTCATTCCTGAGAATAGGAATTTTACCCCGGGGGAGGTAAATTGAACTATAATTCAAGTCTAACAAATAATAAGTGACATCTATCTCTGGTAAATCCAAGGGCTCCGTGATGTGCATGGTCGCTGCTCAATGCCATTGCAAAGTGTTGAACTTGGACAGTACCACTTTTGTACCCCTTGTTTGTCAGGCTAGGCCCCCGGTAGGAATATATCATTTGTATGTTGTTTGGTATAGTAGAAATGTAGAATAGACAGAAGATAGATGAGAGCGAAAAGCTTTTACCAGAAAAGCAATGTACTATTATTACTACTATTAATTTTGTTTTTGGAAATTAGGAGGGAATCGAGTCACCGTAAAAAGAGAAGACTAGAACAAGAAAAAGGATAAAATGGGAAATATTCAACAGATGTGAGCTTTCCCTTTTCTTCTCATTCGAGAAAATAAAAAAAAAGTGGACTTCATACCATTTTTTTACTCGGTATTCCCCATTTCTCTTTTCTACCAAACTAGAGAACATTTCCTTTTCTTCCCCTTTTCTACTATACCAAACAAAGCATTAGGCTTTATGGGACAAGTGCTTTATTTGCAGTATGATCTAAGCAAGTTCTGCCCCTATAACACTGTTTTGTTTGATCACAGTGATCCATCAATAAATACAGGTGCATTCCTCATTCCTTTCTGCTCAAAGTGTTGCTTGGTCTCTATCATCATCATCATATCATCATTTTTATATTTATTATTCATTTATCCCTAGCTACTAGATATTAAGTGCAACTTCAGTTTGATTCATATTTTAAAAGATGAGATGCAGTTTTGACAGCACCAACAGACAAACCTGGTGTAGCATTGATGGATTTTGTCATTTTCCCACCGCGGTGGTTGGTCGCAGAACACACTTTTCGTCCTCCTTATTACCATCGCAATTGTATGAGTGAATTTATGGGCCTAATCTATGGAGGATATGAGGTCAATTCTTTCTCCATTATTCCCTCTTTTTTTTCTCTTTACGAAATGAAAAGGAATCTACTTTTGGTAGCCTTTGATCAATGAACTCACTTAGCCCCAACATAGAGATTTTCCACTTGCATGATTAACATCAAAACCTACAAGAGGTTAAGGTAGTTGCCTTAATAACACGAACCAAACGATACCCAATTCACTCCATCAACAACACATGCTTTAACTTTTCTTAGCTTGTTGTTTTCATCAGGCAAAAGCCGATGGTTTTCTTCCAGGCGGTGCAAGCCTCCATAGCTGCATGACTCCACATGGTCCCGATACGAAAACATACGAGGTTAAACAACTACTCCCTCCCTCTCATCTGCACAAACACGGCTATTTTTTTTATGCTCTAGTTCTAGGCTTGCTCTTAGGGTCTGTTTGGAATCCGGAACATGTTAGGGAAGGTAAATATGAAAAAGATTGGAAACTAAAAAAAATTTAGGGAAATAAGAAAAAGAAATGCTTCAAACTAAATAAATAAATGTTAGTTATATTTCTTCAAAAAAAATATTTTTTCTTTATATAAGGACTAGAAAAAAATACATGTAACAAGAATCAAGAATACTCACATTTGTAGTTCCTTTGTACTCTCTTCGTCCGGAATTCGTTCTCAACTTTCTCAAAACTCTAATTTCTAAGAAATGAGTTAAAGATGTCAAACAAGTCGCTCAAAAGATGAGTTTATCACTCGTTCATGTCAACACTGCTGATACTTCATCTTGAGATATTTTAAACAATTCGACATACTTTCTTTATTGAATATATAAAGTGGACAACTAATTCCGAACAAGAAAAAACAAGAAAATAGACAATTAAATCCGGAAAGATGGAGAATTTTTCAAGGTAACACAAGGGAAAAAAACACTTCTTCATATACTGCCTGGTTGCAGAAAACCATTGCGCTTGGAAATGAAGTGGGGCCAGATAAAATCACGGGAACGATGGCATTCATGTTCGAATCATGCCTTGTGCCTCGGGTATGTCCATGGGCAATTGATTCACCATTCATGGATCATGATTACTATCAGTGTTGGATTGGTCTGAAGTCTCACTTCACACATGGATCATCTTCAAACCCATAATGGGAACCCTTTTATAAATTTAAATATTGGATATCAGCAATGAAATAAAAGCTAATGTATGTATGCAATTCAAACAGAAGCGAAAAATTATAATAATGATGCATATAGCGTGTTTTACTTGATATTTGAGCTTTTGATCTTGGAAAATGCTCAATTGTAACCATGTCGTCTTTCAAGTGATGGGGTGTGGCTCCCTTTTGGGTGATGACCATCTTGGCCGTGACAAGTTTTCTCATATCTTTTTTCAACCAATCAAAATAATTTACTTTTGTACCATATCACGTTTTGGTCACTCTTCCTAATCAAGTCCAATTACATATTTTTCTACTCGTACCCACATGCTTACGAGACACCTGCGTATCAAACCCGTCATTACACATAGCCTTAACATCAACGGGAGTTAATTTTTGCTAGTTGGACCAAATAATAATGGATGATCAAAAGTGATAATAGTACGAAGTAGGTATGTTTCTTTATGGTTGTTATACCAAACCTCATGGATGAAAAAGAATTGAACATGAAGAATTATTGTAAATACTCCATAATGCGAGTACACGTATGTGAATTGCGATACCATGTATTTTACGGAGTACAAGAATAGTTTTCAATTATAGAATTATTGGTAGTGTTTCCAAAAAATCAATATTTTTACAATATTACTCATTCTGTCCTACAATGATTCACTCTTCACTTATTGTGATACCGTGTATTTTACCGAGTACAAGAATAGTTTTCAATTATAGAATTATTGGTAGTGTTTCCAAAAAATCAATATTTTTACAATAATACTCATTCTGTCCTACAATGATTCATTCTTCACTTTTCAAAAATAATGAGAATTTTTTTTATTTGCGTGTTTTCATTGAATATTTGATGAAACAACATATTCTAGTCACTTCTTATGTTAAATATACAAGTTTTATTTATCAAAAAATGCTAGGGGTACACCAAACGTGTACCCCAAATGTACATCACCCCCTCCCTTGCCACATATTTTGGCATGTAAAATAAAAAAGAAATATATAAATAAAAATGAGTGGTAATGAAGAGGGTGGTGTACATTTGGAGTACACTTTTAGTGTACTCCTATCATCCCCTTTATTTATTATATCTATGTCAATCTTTAAATAAAATAAATTTAAAAACTTAATATTTTGCTTTATTTTACATAAAATGTAGTTTAGTTGGAGACGAAGAAAGTACATGAAGAATATGTTTAACTTACATGGATCCCTAATTTTTTAGTCAAAATGCAAGAAAAATAAACAAGTTGTTTTCAAGTAATTTCAAGTATAAAACCAACAAGGTTATCACTACATCCAAAATGGTAGTCATAAACTCATAATATTATGTCAAATTAAAGTCTTTACGGTACTAGGTTCAAAAAATCAATACTCTCTTTGTCCGAAATTAATACGGAGTATTTCTTATTTCTTTTTAAGGTTGTCTCAAATTAATCTTGCTCTTTTCGTATTTGGAATATTTTTGTGGCTTACCTTTTTTCTCTATCCTCAGTATCACTTTCAATCATTTAATTTCACTTTTCTTAAACTCTGTACAAAATCAAACTAGGAGTATTAATTTGGGATGAAGGGATTATTTTTTATCTCCTAAGACTCCAACAAACCCTACATTTCTAATTTTTACCTAACATTTTTAAAAAGTTAAAATACTTTTAGAGAGTAAAAAAATTGACTGGCATTTATACGCAAAAGTACGGTAGTTGAAATCTTTGAATTGCCATAACGGCAAGTGGAGCAGAAATGGCAGAGCAATGTCCCCACAAAGTCAATTGAGATCACTCCCTCGTCCCTCCATTATTAAAGGAAGGGAAAATGCTAGGCTACACAAAGGTGTACCCACTTGTCCCTCTCCCCTTTCATAACCACTCAAATAGGTAAGAAAATTTAAAAAATAAGTAAATAAAAATCAAATACAAATGAGTGGTTATGGAAGGGGTGGGGACAATAAATTAAACAGATTAGACAGTCAAGAGAAAATAAATTAAATTTTGATTACAGATTAGCAGTAAAGAATGAAGCATGTACTTTGTACTTGCAGAGACCATATGTTTCAGGGCTGGTCCTGAGGATTCATCAGCCTGGGCCGAAACAGAAAAAAGGCCCTAAAAATCTTTTATTTAATGGTCTAAGAAATTCACATGTGTAAACTAATTATATCTAAATTATAATTAACGCAATATTATTAGAGCTCCGGCTTGAGATTTTCTCATTTCTTCATCTTGTTTTCTCTTTTTTCTTTTTTGACTACCGGATAATTGTTTAGGAGCCATAAGTATTGAATTATTTCTGAAATAAAATCCAAAATCATAAATTCTACTAAGTAATATCAAGAATAAAAAACTGAAAAAAGCAATCAAATAAATAAATATATCATAAATTAATATCAATTCGTCAATTTTTCCTTTTTTAATTGTTTTTTTATTTTTCAGTTTTAATTTTTTTATAAATCATAAATTCATATCAGTTCAACAATTTTTCAGTTTTTATTTTTTTTAGTTTTCAGTTTTTTTTAATATAAATATATAATTATCATAAATAACAAATTCAAAAAAATTCATCCAAAATCAAATAAATAACATATAGAACCATTCATTAATTCTATTTCAAAAAATGAAATTAGAAAAGATTTCAAATTTAAAACTAATAACTAAGTAAACTAACCATAGATTTTAAATCTAAATAATGAAACAATGAAAAAAATTAAGATTTAAGAAATAAATTAATAAAAATTACAAAATTAATTACCTGGAGGCGCGGCGACTCGGAGTCCGGCGGTGGAGGAGGCCGGCGGCGACTCAATCGGCAGTTTCGGCACTTGCACGTTTCTGTACGTCGACGGGTCTGGTTTCTTCGTCACTGAATTCGATCGGCACTCTGCGTCTCTTCCATTCCGTTCTTTTTTTGGTTTAAGTTAATGACTTAAGGCATTGGTGGACTAATTATATACATACATACACACACACACACACACACACACACACACACACACACACACACACACACACACACACACACATATATATATTACTAAAAGCGAACTGATATGTTTAGTACAATTACTTTACAGTGCATGTATCAAGAAGCGAACTCAAGTCTACCCTTAACACTCTTTGCCCTTATCTTTATCAACTGCACAACACCATCTATTATTTTTCATTTTTCAACTGCACAACTCCCTCTAGGTGAAACCCCAACATAGTCTCCACACAAAGAAATTAGGTAAATCACACGAGATACATCAACACATTAGGGATAATAAGATTTTTGTCACGCTTGATCTCTATTACATCGAGCTGAAACAAAAAGGTATTCTCCAAAATTCAAACCCCATTTTGTAGGTCACCAGCAAGGTTCACCAATTGTCTTTGTCAGTTAAGTTATGCTCGGAAGCATCCATTTTCACTTACACTGCTATGGGTCGTGAGCATGATCCATGCTTGATCCTCGATCGTCATGCGACACCACCAGTGTGAAGAGGTTGTGACACTTTGCCACGATGGCAAAGTGTCCTATTTTTATCTTTTTTTAAATTTAAGACAATAAAAACAATTTAAATTTTTATGCAGTCTCCACTCTTAAACTCAGTAGCACACATACTCTAAATTTTTTCCCTTTGTCCCTAATCATTTTTCATTTTTGATTTTTTAGATTCAACCCTGTCTATAATTAATGAAATTAAATGATTTATTAATTAAATAAATTAATACTCCGTATTTTAAAAATATTTTAATATCAATACATAATACTCCTTTCATCCCAGAGTATTTGTCTACTTTCATTTTTACACACCATCCAATACACTTCTTTAATCTATTTTATCTTGTAATTTGTATATTAAAAAATTATAGAAATTATATATTAATAATCTATATGTTAAGACAATCAAACAAGATGACACATGACTATATTTAGGCTTACACATTGAGAGAATTTGATGAGTCAAAGTGCTTAGATGAACAATTACAAAAATCAAAAGTGGACGAATATAGTGGGACGGAGGGAGTACTCTCTATCAATTTTACTTGACTTGAAAAGTTTAATTCAAAAAGTCAAAGCATAACACATGGCATAATAAGACGCTCCATTCCCCTGCTGTACTCTCCCCAATCATCATCATCGTCATCCGCAAAAAAGCGCAAAACATGGCCGCCAAATCGCCACTGAAGGCGTCTCTTCCGGTTCTCCTCCTCCTCCTCTTCTGCGCCGCCGCCTACGGCCGATTCATCGTGGACCGTGCCTCCGACCTCGTCTCGGACGGAGTGAGCAGCTCTGACGGTCGATCTGGGGTCCTCCACCTCGGACACCGGGTCTCTGCGGCGGCGGAGGAGGGGAATTGCGAGCAGACGTACGGATTTTTGCCATGTACTAACACTGCGATCGGAAACCTTTTCCTGATTTTGATCTATGGATACCTCATGTTCCTCGCCGCCACCTACCTGTCCTCCGGCAGTGAGCTGCTGCTTGAGATTCTCGGTCCCGGCCTCATCGGCGGCCTCTTCCTCCCTATGCTCGGCGCTCTTCCTGATGCTATGCTTATTCTCGGTATAAACTTTTTTTTCTCTCTCCTTTTTTGTTTTATCTCTACACAAAAGAATTGATTTTTTTTAAGAAAAATTTAAAATTAGAGTAAACAAGGGTTTAACACTTTTACTAATTAAAAAGAGTTCTGTCGGTCTAAAAACTTTGAGTGTTATTTTTGAATGTTTTAATGAGTTCAGTGAAAATATTTAAATAAAAAGAGTACTCCATGACATTTTTGACAAAATAAAAAGAAGTTTGGTAGCATTTTTTTAAATGCTCTTTTTATTAACTTGTCAACTGGAAGAAAAAACTTGACAAAATAAAAAGTTAATGTTTTTTTCTATCTTTCATTAATATGCAACTGTAAAGAAACTTATTGGACTTATTGAACGGAGTGAGTATTTTGTAGCATCCATTTTTTTGGGTACTTTTTGTAGCAACCATTTATAAGCAAGTTTTGTTAGTTCCTACGTTGTGACCCACAAAATTGGGAAGAACAAATGGAATCTAATTTTTTTGTTCAGCTCCAAGCTAGACTTACTACAAATAGCCCATTTTAAATGAATAAATTGGAGAGATATGAAGAAACATTGGCTATGAAATGAATTAATCCTTTCTTAAGACAAATTTGTTCTTCACCAAAAAAACTATCACATTTTTCTAACAGTTTTTGTTATGGAGTAATAATTAGAAAACACATGACACAACACTGCCAGTGCATATCAATTCGTTTGCTATGACAAAAAACAATTTAAAAAAGGAGTGCAAGAATGATCTTTTCCTTAGGGAAAAATGGTCGAAATAGGACTTAAGCATAGCAAAGAGAACAAAATAGAACCTTCTTGTATTTATCCCAAAATAGGACCTATAATGCCAATAATGCCAACATTTAATACCAAAAAGTACTATGGAATGCCAATATGCGGTGCTACATTGTCACAGTTCAATAGTCATATTTTGGGATAAAAACATGTCACTCCTATCTTGGGGATAAAGGCTATGTTTTGCTCCGTGGTGATTTCTTTTTTCATTAGACCATTGATGCATATACTTTCCAAAGCTTCACATTGAGAAAGTAAGAAGGAAGATAAGTTAAATTTACCATTTTCATCTAGTTCATTATTTACTCAAAACTAAAACATTCTTTAAAAAAACTCTTTTAGATCCATTAGCATTAGATGTAAGAGTTTGTATAGAAATCCAGGTTAAAATTTGTCCGATTTGCAATGCACCCCATTGTCTCACTATTTTTGTCCATTTTTATTATTTTTTCCATCCCACCATGTCATATACTATGTATGTTTGTGTGGTTGACATTCAATTTTTTTATTTATTACTTTTTAACATTAAAATTTAACCATATAATCTTACTTTTCTTAGTGGGAAAGAGGGAGTACCATTTTTTAAGGGAATTGAACTTTCACATTAATTCATTGCTTTGTAGTCATACATGCAAACTTAATTCTTTTTATCACTCAAATTGTCAGTGGAGAACCCTAACTTTGACATTATCTATGTCATTTCAGTATCTGGATTATCCGGCAGTGTATCAGAAGCTCAGAGCCAGGTTTCTGTTGGAATGGGCTTGTTAGCTGGGTCGACAGTGATGCTTCTCACAGTTATATGGGGAACCTGTGTTGTTGTTGGGAAATGTGACATTGAAAACTCTGTTGCTGTCGACTTAAAAGACACTAAAGGGTTCAGCTTGACTGGTGAGTCTCTTGGTTTCCAATTCCTACCCTTCTACACTTCTCTTGACACATAAAATCAGGCATGTTTATGAGTTTTTGGTTTTCTGGGTCTTTTTTTTGTATCTTGAATATCTTCTTATGTAAGGGTGCATTTGGCTGAAATTTCCAAAATTGCTACTGATATCGGTGAAGTTGATACGTTGTGAAAAACATATTTACAATATATTTCATATCACTCTTGAGACTTCTTTGGGATGTTGTTGTATACTCCCTCCATCCCGAAATAAGGTTTCTCATCACTCATCAGAACCAACTTGAAATGATATTGTGTGGTTGGAATTTATGCTGCAGAGAAACAATAATAACCACACAATCGTTTCCCTAAAAAGAAAGTAAAACCTTATTTCGAGACATACAAAACATAAAATGTGTAACTATTTTTTACGGGAGAGATGGAGTATTTAAAGAATATTTGATGTGTAATATAAAGTAATAGATAAAAAGCTAAATTGATCGCAAAAAATACCTACCCCCCCGTTGGAAGCCATATGTTGGACAGCGTCCCACACCACTTCCGTATAAAGAAAGGTGAAGCATTACCCGCTGAAAGTAGACCCAAACTTATATTGCTATTGGCTCGATTACAATGTAGTATCCGTTCATACTTTTTTGAACCTAATGATGCACAGTTAACCAATGCCTCCGCCTTTGCTGGGGCTTGAACCTAGGTGAACATCCTCATAAACCTAGGAGAGTGGGCTTCCTATCACTCAAACCTAGGAAGAAGTTCATGGTATTAGAGCTAAGTTTGGTTTGAGTTTGATTCATCCTGGTATTCACCGGGCTAGCTAAAAAGTGATTGAGATGCTAGACCCATTTTTTCAAGTAGTAACTAGACAAGGCTAGTTACCACTTGAGGGAGGGGGGGTGTCTGTGGCCTCCAAATGACCACTTATATTGCCACACGGTTTACTCATTTCGAATATCTATCTAGGGGAACAAATGTCAGAAGTTGTCACATAATGTATGATGTCACCATAAATTTGAATACATTTTTTTTAATCATTTGAATGTTTCATAGGTCATCATAAAGTTGGTTCATCTTTGTAGGCTCCGGGGTTACTACAGATTTCTGGACTAGCTATGCTGCAGTTATTATGGCAGTTTCTGTGATACCATTTGTGATTGTGCAACTTCCACCGATGCTCCATTCTTCCTCAGGAAGACATGTTGCTGTCTTGATTGCTCTCATTCTATCAGTTGCACTTTTTATCACCTATTGCGTTTATCAGGTATCATGACTGTACATTGGTATGAATTACTCTTGATCATGTCACATGGTATGCATGTTGGCTTTGTAATATCAATCATGTGGTATACATGACAATTGAATATGTGAATATATCTCCACCAATCGCCGTCTCATGGTAATTTCCTTGCATGTGGATATAGCCTAACGATGGTTTAGAATTCTCATCTCATTATTCCTTCTTATGAAGGCTATAACACGGAGAGAATCAGGCATTCAACATTGCCACTGTTTTTTTGCATGAATTTAGAGCATTAGTTAATTTTATAATGGTAAAGCCAATTACCCCACCCTGTTAGGATTAAGATGTTGTTAGCGATAATGTTTATTGGTATAAATGCTATGAACTACACTGAACTGCTTTGTGTTTGAATTATGTAATGGTTTTAACTTTTAACTTTTCTTATATATCCCTAGCTCAACTGCGAGGTCAAACAAATCAATTTTTTGTTGTTACACATGTAACTATGTATATCCGTGTCTTGTGACAAGCAAAATAATGACTTGTACTCCATTTGAAAAATCTGTGAGATTAGATGGGGAAGTGAAGTATTTCAAATTCACAATTTGAACATGAGATGATGTGGTTTTATTGATTTACACTAAAAAGTCAGGGTGTAATTCTCATTGTATTTAGGTAACTTCCATATGAACAACAAATTGATGCTATTGCATGTTTGCTAGAAATATGTATCATATCACATGACCATTCTCTAATGTGTGTATGCATGAGCCATCTTCCCATTGTTGGGCCTCTGTGCTGGCAAAAAAGTGAATATTGATTTTAATTTTTTTCAACTAGTCTTAATGCATCCTCTATTCAACATGTTTTCTCGGTCAATTGATTCTTGTTACATTTTGAAGCATAGATCTGCATTCTATTTCCTTAATTTGCTACAAAACTGTTCTTCTGAGCTTGTCCTTAACTTGCTAGCTCAGATCTTTCAGCCATGGATTCAAGAAAGACGACTTGCTTATCTAAAGCAAAAACATATCATGTCAGGAGTTCTGAGGCATTTGAAAAAACATGCATTAGGCAGACTTTACACAGATCAGGGAGTACCAGATCGTGCAGTTTTGAGAAAGTAAGCTTTTCTTTAAAATCCCCATCCTACATTTTTATAAAGAAGAATAAAAGTACCTAATTCATAAACTTCCCAAATATCTGATTGATGTTGTTGGTGCCAGGCTTTTTAATACCATAGATTCTAATGGGGATGACAAACTCTCGCATTCTGAATTAAGAGCTCTGCTCGTGGGAATCCGTCTTGAAGAGATTAACCTAGACGAAAATGATGCCATATCGAATCTAATGAAGGACTTTGATTCCTCAAATAATCAGTGTATTGAATTTGAAGAGTTTGTTGCTGGTGTTGGGAAATGGCTTGATGAGATCCAAGCTTCCAGAGCTACACCAGGAACATTTAAATATCTTGATGATTATCATGAGGTTTGTTATGTTCTCTAAATTTTCAGATATAGCTTCTCGTGATGAAGATTATAAAATTTTTGTTTTAAAAACTGCCGCTTCACCCTGATTAATCTCTGCATATACATTTAAACAGCCCTTGTTCGCCTATATCTTTTACCCGGTTAGGCCCGCCTAATTCTATTTACATTGTTTAGTACACTCATCTATTGTGTACTAGGTTCGGGTATAGTATATACTTCCTCCGTCCCAATGTAGCTGTACAATATTCTGTTTTGGGTTGTTCCAATGTCTGCAATATATGCCAACTTTCCATTCAAGGAAAAGAAATAAAGTGGCATTGATTTTTTTCCCTAACCTAATACTCAAACTCCCACCCAAATTGTAAAAGTAGGGGCATAATGATCACTTCTCTTTTTTTCCTTTTTCTTGGTCCATGTGTCAAAAAGAAAATGGACAAAGTTTAAAGTTAACCTTGAGGAGTTTTTGGATGAGCTAGGCCCAAATTGATATGTTATTGAAGTCTGGTTTGATAATGAATGGTTTATGGGTGCCCAAATGTTTGGGAGTTAGTTAGGGCATATTTGTCCACCCCTTCAGTTAATCAGTTGTGTAGCCAGACTTGGGTTAGAGGGGGTGTTGAGTATCTCACATTGGTTGTCGGTCGTAGCCTAATGCGTATTGGGCACATAATGCTTTTTTTCACAGCTTTGGTCATAATATGAGCACACATCTTCTTTTGCAGCAAACAAGGAGGGATCATTATCTACTAAGCGCTGGGGGGAATCAATGTGATGAAGGTGATGAGGAAATTGTGAATCCCAAATGGACCTCAGTCAAGGCTGTATTGTTCTTGTTGCTGGGGACTGCCATTGCTGCTGCTTTTGCCGATCCCCTTGTAGATGCAGTCGATAATTTCTCTAGTGCCACACACATCCCGACTTTCTTCATCTCATTCATTGCCCTACCGTTGGCAACAAACTCAAGTGAGGCTGTGTCAGCAATCATCTTTGCCAGCAGGAAAAAGCTTAGATCTGCATCATTAACATTTTCTGAGGTCTGTTCAGTTTTCCTTCTTGCTCTTGTTATGGTCCTTTTGGAATCAGGAAAATGCTAGGGAAAGAAAATACTGAAAATTGAGGTCGAACTCACAAGGAAAGAAAATTTCGATGAAAATAAACTAGAAAAAGTTCAAACCCAATAAATATAAATCCGAACATAAAAAGACGGGGAACATAATTAAACTAGGAGTGAAACATGGAGAAAGCAAAATAGGAGCTCCATGTTTTTTATTCCCAAAATTGGAGTTGCAATTCCAATAATGTCAATATATAATATCAAAAAACACAAAGTCCTATTTTGGGGATTAAAATATGATACTCCTTTTTGAGGCTCCCATTTAGGGGTTCTATGGAGTATACATTTTCCCCTTCCTGATAGATCATCTTCCTATGGAACCAATATTTGATTTTTATCTTCTTTTCTTGCAGTTATATGGAGCAGTGACTATGAACAATGTCCTTTGTCTTTCGGTTTTCTTGGCTCTTGTTTATGCAAGAGGATTAACATGGGACTTCTCATCCGAAGTTCTCGTCATTCTCATAGTCTGCATTGTGATGGGCATTTTCGGGAGTGTTCGTTCCACTTTCCCGCTCTGGACTTCTTTCATAGCCTTTTCGCTCTACCCGCTGTCCATCGCATTCGTTTATGTTCTTGATTATGTGTTTGGTTGGTCATGAAATGGAGGAGCCTTGTTGTGTCGCCTCTGTTTTCATGCTTCGACATGTGTTTTGTAAACATTCTCTTACCAGTTTTTAATAAGACATTCATGCTTGAGATATTTCAGTTTTCTTGCTCCAATTTTAATGATTTTTTTTTTGCTGTTTGATCCTATGTACCTCATCACCAACCCCATAGGCTTATTTTGGGGTTCCTCAAGTGCCTGTTTGGTTCACGGAAGAAACGAAAATGGTGTGGAAAAACAATTTTGGTGTTTGGCTAGAAAGGAAAAGAACATGCAAGGAAAATGTACACTATGTTTGGTTCAAGGAATTTGAAACAGAAAAGAAAAGAACATGAGATGAAAAACAATTTTTCTTTTATGGTTAAATAAAAAAAGAAAAGAAAAAATAAAGGAAAAAAAAATGAAAATGCAAAATGTACTAAGAGGAAGGAAAAGAACATTTCTCCCTTTTTTTGTGAGGAAAATGAGAGAAAATCATTTTTTTATTTTCTTTCTGAATTCCTTAACCAAACATAGTAGTGTTGTAAAAATGGAAATTTGGTTTTTCCTCCCATTTTGTTTTTGTAAGAAAAAGTGGAGAAAACAACAAATTTCTCTTCTTGTCCTCCCCACCCCCTCCCTTTTTCAACCATGTTTTTTCATTTTCTCTACAGCTACAAAAAAATGAGTTATTTCTCAACCATGTCTTTGACCTTTTTCCCCTTGAGTATTTTCTTCCTTCATAATCCTTTGAACCAAACATAGTGTTAGGGTTGTTGAAATGGTTAAATCCGCATGAAATCTTAAATATGTTTTTTCATCTTAATAGGATTCCTATAAGAAAGTTAAATAATTATGTGGCTAAGAATTATGCATGAACTTACTGATTCAACAACAAATCTAGTAAAAATTTCACAAAGGATTTATTAATTCCTAAAAAGAGAAATCTGCTAAGGTTCTTTTGACTCTCAAGCCTAGTGTCATACTATGACATCGTATCTATTGACGGCCCTATGTTGCTCCATTCAACTCCAAAGTGATTCCTACTTCCACTAACCCCTCCCCAGTCTCCTAGCCCCCATTTGGGTGACCATCCACAAAATAATCTTGGATGTGAACAATATAAATTGGAAGGAAACACGAAAGTTTGAAAAGGCAGTAATGAAAAAAAATCAAAGATTTGCCGGACTGGAAAAAAAGATCAAGATCAAGAGAATAGAGAAAGAGACATAGGTATTTTGGACGACGACAACAATCTCAATAGTGTCTTTTATGAGCTGAAAACATGATATAATTGTCACAAGTTTAGATTCGAGCTCTAGTTTCGATTATAGGTAACATTGATGTCGATGATTATAACAATTTGAACTCCAAATACTTTGGAGAAAAGATTTTCGCTCATGATCAGACGAATTTGAAATCTGCTACATATACCTTGTGCAGATTATTTAGAAAAGTTCATGTCAATACTCCCATAATTTTGATATTTTACATGAATACTTCAAGAATGCATAATCATTAGTTCATCACTAGAGCTCTGGGAGTTTATAAAGTCTTACAATAATGCTCTATGAACTTTTTTTAATGCACATGATGAATCCCTCATTTTTTTCATGAGTATATGTGATCATCAATTTGTAATCTTTGGGTATTAATGTTGATAATTTAAATTCTCAAAGCGTCAATGATAATTATGCAATCTCGGAATATTCATGCAAAATCTCAAATATCTTTGAGTATTGCCATGATCATTATCATTATCATCATACTGTTCTTTTATTGTTGATTACCAATCAAATGTTCTTTTACTGAACTTTCATATGAAACATAACAACAAGAACACAAACATTTATCTACAAACACCTTCTTCCTTAATCCGTCCTAAGCAACAACCTGTGTGAGATGTTCGTTCATAGCCTTAGGTTCAGATCAACGCCCCCACTGACTTCACCTTTGCATTCATTAGGTGTTGCTTCTTGCCCGACCTGTTGTTCTGTTAATGGGCAAAACCCGTGGATGAGCGGTTGATCTGATCCGCTCATCACCGGTCGCCCAATCAGCTCTTCACCACTTCCCTGTAGATTAGAAATGAGTTTAATGCCATGGGCATGACTTGGATGAAAAACAAGAGGTGCAATACATTTATCTGACTCAGTAATGGGCAAAACCCGTGGATGAGCGGTTGATCTGATCCGATAATCAATGTATATTTGATAAACCATACTATCAGTTACATGGAGTAGAAATAATACAGTGGGCCTAGGAAATGATAGAAAAGTTAATAATCTTAAATTGCAATACATTTATCTTACTCAGCAACTCAACAACAAAAACCTCAAACTAGTGATTGTAAAGCCAAAAGATGTTTTCTACTATAACACCTCTGTAGGGGAAAATGAAGATTAGTATTAGATTTCACAAGCTCACCAGATGTATATGAGGTGAAGAAGCCATTGGAGGGGCAAGAGTTAGAAAATCTCCATCAAAACCTTCGTTTTCTCTGCAGAGTCTCCTGGTGATGGGTGCAGACAAAGAATCTGAGTTTGATGGACCTCTGATCAATGCCAAAGAAATTTTAAAAACCATGGTGACCAAAGGGAAATCAAATGTAAAAAGCATACAAAGTTTGGAGCAGGTAAGCCACTGTACCTTGTTAGAATGTCGGACGATTCATATGTCTTAGAAATAGGGGGCGTATAACCCGGAGAAGGAGGATATTTGCAAGTGAATGAAGCTAGTGAAATTGGATACTCTGAAGAAAAGGGGCACTGCCTCTTAATGCCAGCCATCTGCATTACATCAAGAAACTAGTTTCAGAACTTTCTAGAAACCAATAAACCCAATAAAAATCACACAAGGTAGAAGGCAAAGACAGAAGTAAAACTTTCAAGAAAGCATTACCCAGAAAGAGTCATACACACACATATATACTAGCATCAGTTCATCATTTTCCATCCACCCTCCCTTCCACAAGATCAACTTAATACACATACTAGTGCCACAATACAGGGACACAAAGTAAAACATTGAAATTTGTTTACCTTAACTTCCTCATCCGGCCAGCGAGGTGTATAATTCTTGACACAATAATTTTGGTTTGAAGGGGGCTCCGTCTGGAAATTCAGTTCAGATGATGCTGCCGATGATGAAATCCCTGCCGAGACCTTCACCTACAAATTTCCCAAAAAAAATCAACAATGTTGCAAGTGTCATGTTCCTGTCTCAGTGTGTATGTGTTTAATAAAAACAATAATTGTTAAAAGAAAAGTTGTAACTCTCACTGATGAGACACTAATGAAAAGTTGGAAGCTAAGTGGCTAACCATTGATGAAGAGGAAAGGTGTTGACAATGCTGTGATCTCTGCAACACACATTGCTGAGACGAATTTCGGGTATTTAATTCATTAACCATATTCAAATTCTGGGGAACCCTTTTCCCATGTTGATGATGATCACCACCATTGTCACACAATTTACTCCAATTATGATTCTTCCCTTGAACAGCCAAAGCCTTTGAGCCATCAGAGTATGGCTTTGGAACCCAAGCCTCAGCTCCTCTGGGCATGCCCTTTAGATCAATAATGACTGGCGGCTGAGGCGGTGATGGGGGCAAAGTGGTAATTTGGGGGAGGGGTTGAGGCCTGAAGGACAGTAAAGATGATGCCTCTTTTCTTTGCTGCTCTTCTAACCTGATCTTTTCTAGCTGAGCTACACCTAACCCTCTTTGTGGGATCTTCTTTGGCTTCATCTTCTTGCAAGATCTGCTGCAATTTCCACCACTGTTATTAGTACACTTTTGGGTATGTTTTTCTTCTTGATCCACCATTGCCATGAAAATAAATCCCCAGAATGCTCACAGATTGAAGGTAAAAGAATCAATGGGGAAATTCCCAAAGTACCCTAATTTATTATCTTGCAGAAAATCTTGATGTGATGATCATAACAGAAACTATTGAAAAAGAAAAGGAAAAAAATCCACCCACATGATAAAATTCAGCAAAGATTGGAACTTTATGGAAAATTTATGATCAAGAATGGTTTTTCACAAGAGATTTATAAGGAAATGAGTGCCCAGAGAGAGATAGAGAAACTGACAGTTATGGATTTTTCTGAAGCAGAGCGGTTATGCTTGTTTGAGACAGATCAGCAAAATGTGGAAAGACTATGAGAATATAACAATAATAGGAAAATTGGGAATATGTAATTATGATTTAATAAATATGTAATATTACATAGAGAATCCATGGCTTTTAAATCAAAATCTAAAGAAACCTACATAAATGCTCTCTCTCTCCAAATCCTTGCTTTACATTTCCCTTATATACGGATTCTTTCTCTCTCTATATCTCTCTTTCTCTCTCATTTTCTTGTTTTATATACTCTATGTTTGTGGGTTCTTAACGAAAGAGCTGATGATCTTCGTGAATCTGTGATTTTTTGGGGTTCCATATATAAGGTCCCTCCCTTTTCTGGTTTTCTTTCCAAAGGATGAGTCTCATCCTCGAGACTCTCTTCAGATCTGGTCGAACGGTCACTGAGAAGAAATAAATTGGATTTCAATTGCATATTGGTGGCAATGGAGTCTACACTTAATACTTATTTTTTTCATTTTCAATTTTTATCTTGCACTATTTAAAAATTGTTTGGAATGCAACGGCAATTGAAAATATTGTTTCCTAACAAGATCTAAAAAATGGTCTATTTAAAAGTGGAAGACTAATTCCAATATGATCTTTCTACTCTGTTATTGAAATTACTAAAGACAAATTCTATGGTAGATCTTGAGTGCATCAAATAATCAATGAGATATCTCTCATTTATAACAAACTAGACATAACTAAGAGAGTGTTTGGGAGTGATTAACTTATTGATAAAGTGATTTCTACAAAAACTGGAAGTAAAAGTACCTCATACATGCTTCTCCGAAACGGTGTTCCATGTACAAAATAATGTTGGTGAAAAGCAAAAGCTGACATGCCAAACAGAGTAAAATCATTTCCACTCAAAGCAGAAGCTAAATTGTTAAAAGCAGCGCACTGTCAAACATCCTCTAAGTACTATGTTTTATTCAAGAGTGTTTTCATATTTGTGTGTGTGTATTATAGAATATGACAATATCGATAATGTATCAATATGGTCAGAATAAATAACAAAGAATAAGATCTTTCTCCAGTTCTAAATTCTAGCTATGACTTTATGTAAAATA